GTGGATCTATTCTCCTGATTTGGGATCTAGATTTCCTGATTTGGGATCTAGATTCTCCTGATTTGGGATCTAGATTCTCCTGATTTGGGCCTAGATTTCAGTGTCGGACTTTGCAACACAAAGGAATGGCAGAGAGAGAGGTAGGCGATTTGCATTTAAATGCTCTGGAATGCAACAATTCACAAGCCCAGAAAGGCACCGTGTGTCTGCTTCTCTGGAAGGATGTGCAGCATTTAGCGCTTGGCTAAACTCTCAGCTTATGCAGTGGGAAGAAACACATACACTTTGCTTGGCATGCAATAAAGTTTTCTTTGGTCGAAAGCGGACTCTGGAGCTAGCGTTTTGCTGATCTGGAGAGGCTATGCGGCGTTCGTGGTGCCTGAGGAACTTTACATTACAGAGAGAGAGAAGTGTGAGAGAGGTGGAAGGGGAGCGTGGGGTTTTGCTTTTTCCCAGCGGCTGAAGAGTCCGCTTTGTTAGTTTTATTGGAGAGAGCAGAAACGGGAGGATCTCCTTCACCTTTGTCATGCACAGCTTTGAAGATCGGAAAACTGGGTAGGGAAAAACTCCAGTCTCTTCAGGGGGGGAGGGACTCCATCCCTCTTTTCTCACTGTCCTGTCCGGTGCAAGCTGTGCTAGCCAGCACCTTTTAGGGGTGAGTCAACGGCACGACTACTGAGGAAAGCTTAAATCATCTTTATTCAACTTCTCACGCGTTAGAAGATCATTTTACTCACAGTAGCTGGGTGGGAAGTTACATCGTGATCTGGGTTAGTTCAGTAGCCGCGGTGAGAAAAGAGATGGGCTCCCTCTCCTCGCGGTAAGGGTTGAAGAACAAAGAAACGGAAAAAACCCATAAAGTCAGGAAATTGCTCTTAGCCAGTCAGGGAAAAGCATCTGGGACCCTTAACTGCGAACTACAATTCCCAGAAGCAACAAGTCTTAAAGATGCCGTGCAGTTTTACTAAACTACTGATAACGCTGACTGGGGACAGCACAGGTTGCCTCCTGGATTACTTTATCTAGGTCCAGGTCGTCCTGGCTGACCAGCCTCCCTTAGTCCCACGAGGAACTGGTTGAGGAGGGCTTCAGCTAGGTTGGAGAAGGAACACCTGGCGGCGCCCCGATGCAGAGCCACCAAGAAATCTGAGGCGGTCTCGTCAGGGCCCTGGACTTTCGCAAAAAAGTCCATGCGCTCCACAAACTTAGTTGGTTTGGGGGCCAGGTGGCCAGTCAGCGCCTTGACCAAAGAGTTGTAAGACTCGCTTTTGGTCAGCTTGGGTGCTACTAAGTCTTTAAGCAGGAGATGGGCCTCCATGCCACAGTGGCGCAGAAGGTACGCTTTTTTCATACCTGGGTCTGCTACGTTGTGGATGGTGAAGTGGCTCTCAAGGGTCTCCAGCCACGTTTCCCACTGCGAGGGTTGGGAGATATCAAAAGCCGGGAGATTCTCTGATGCGGCAGCCATCTTACAGTTCCACGTGGAAGTGAACGGCGGGAACTAGCGGCGTAGAGAAGGAGGGGTGCGGTGCTGCTCTTGGGATCAGCGGTGCGATGAGTGGCTCTTTCGAAGGATGCACGATGCCAGCAGCGGTGGCGATTTCGGTGTGGTGACTCAAAGAGATACCCAGAACGTGGTCTCTGTTCAGAGGGAGATGAATCCCACCTTCGTCGCCAGTGAAAAGTATGCAGACGGATGAGTGATTTCAGCCTAGCGTACTTTATTAGATCAAGAACAAGATAACTTTAGCCGGCTCGCAGGCCGGCTTATATGTCCTGTGGAACCACCACCCCAAACATCCGCCCACTTTCCAGTAGGTTATTTACAGTGGCCGAGAGTTCCATAGGCTCTCGGCCGGGAACCTAGCCCACTGATTGGTGCGGGCTAGGATCCGCATAGTCCATTGTCTCTTTGAGCGAAGCTTGACATTTGCGCTGGACTGCGTGGAGCCCAAGCAGGCCATGCGGGCTGAACTCTCCAGCCCATCTAGTAGCTAAGATATGGCTTTAACTTTATATCTCTGCAAGGGAAGGTGCTGACTTTCATAAAAAAAGAGAATTCAGAGAACTGGCTGCACCTCTTGTTACCACATAATATTCTTGTTGTTGTTCAGTCGCACAGTCGAGTCCGACTCTTCGCGACCCCATGGACTAGATCCCGCCAGGCCCTCCTGTCTTCCGCTGTCCTCTGAAGTTTGCTCAGTTTCATGTTCATTGCATCTATGACACTGTCTAACCATCTCATCCTTTGCCGTCCCCGTCTTCTTTGACCTTCAATCTTTCCCAGCATCAGGGTCTTCTCCAGTGAGTGCTCCCTTCTCATTTGGTGGCCAAAGTATTTGAGCTTCAGTTTCATTATCTGGCCTTCCAGGGAACAGTCAGGATTGATTTCTTTTAGGATTGACTGATTTGATCTTTTTGCAGTCCAAGGGACTCTCAAGAGTCTTCTCCAGCACCATAGTTCAAAAGAATCTATTCTTCGGCGCTCGGCCTTCCTTATAGTCCAACTCTCGCAGCCATACATGACTACTGGGAATACCATTGCTTTGACCATGCGGACTTTTGTTGGCAGGGTGATGTCTCTACTTTTTATCATGCTGTTTAGGTTCGCCATCGCTTTCCTCCCAAGGAGCAGGCGTCTTTTAATTTCATGGCTGCAGTCACAGTCTGCGGTGATCTGGGATCCCAGGAACGTGAAGTCTGTCACTACTTCCACAGCTTCCCCTTCTATTTGCCAAGGAGTGATGGGGCCGGATGCCATGATCTTAGTTTTTTTGATGTTGAGCTTCAAGCCCACTTTTGCGCTCTCCTCTTTTACTCTGAGCAAGAGGCTCTTTAGATCCTTTTCACTTTCAGCCATTAGAGTGGTATCATCTGCATATCTGAGGTTGTTGATCTTTTCCCCAGCAATCTTAATTCCCGCTTGTGATTCATCCAGGCCAGCATTTCGCATGATGTACTCTGCATATATATTAAATAAGCAAGGTGACAATATACATCCTTGTCGTACTCCTTTTCCTATGCTGAACCAATCAGTTGTTCCATATCCGGTTCTAACTGTCGCTTCTTGGCCCTTATACAGGTTTCTCAAGAGACATGTGAGGTGGTCTGGTACTCCCATCTCTTTAAGGACCTGCCATAGTTTGTTGTGATCCACACAGTCAAAGGCTTTAGCATAGTCAATGAAGCAGAAGTAGATATTTTTCTGGTACTCTCTTGCTTTCTTCATAATCCAGCGAATGTTGGCAATTTGATCTCTAGTTCCTCTACCTCTTCGAAAGCCAGCTTGTACTTCTGGCAGTTCTCTATCCACGTACTGTTGAAGCCTAACTTGTAGGATCTTGAGCATGACCTTGCTAGCGTGTGATATGAGTGCAATTGTGCGATAGTTTGAACATTCCTTGGCATTGCCCTTTTTTGGGATTGGAATGAATACTGACCTTTTCCAATCCTGTGGCTACTGTTGCGTTTTCCAAATTTGCTGGCAAATTGAGTGCAGCACTTTAACAGCATCATCTTTTAAGACTTTGAATAGCTCAGCTGGAATACTATCACCTCCACTAGCTTTGTTGTTAGTAATGCTTTCTAAGGCCCATTTAACTTCACATTGCAGGATGTCTGGCTCGAGGTCAGTGATTATACCGTCGTGGTTGTCAAGGACATCGAGGTCTTTCTTATATAGTTCTTCTGTGTATTCTTGACATCTTTTCCTAATCTCTTCTGCTTCTGTTAGGTCCCTACCGTTTCTGTCCTTTATCATGGCCAGCTTTGCATGGAACGCTCCCTTGATTTCTCCAATTTTCTTGAAGAGATCTCTAGTCCTTCCCATTCTATTGTTTTCCTCTATTACTTTGCATTGTTCAGGAAGGCCTCCTTATCTCTCCTTGCTGTTCTCTGGAAATCTGCATTCAGTTGGTCCATTAGACCAGACTTGTTTCAGGAGGGTAGCTCTGTGGGGCAGCAGCAGAAGAGCTAGATTTGAGTCAAAGGGCCAGCCAGATTTTTGGGGCATCAGCTTTTGAGAGTCAAAGCTCTGACAAACGGACCATTGACTTTCAAAAGCTCATACTGCAAAAACCTTGTTGGTCTCTGGACCTGGAGTATGGTGTGCAGGCCTCACTTCAAAAAGGATGTGGACAGAATGGAGCACGTGCAGAGGAGAACGACAAGGATGATTGGGAGCGTGGAGATCAAGCCCTGTGAGGAAAAGCTGAGGGACTCTGGAGAAGAGGAGGCTGGACTGGATGGCCTGTATGGGCCCTTCCGATTCTGTATGTGTATGTGTGTGTGTATACTACTGGACTTGAATCTAGTTCTTCTTGTGCAATGTTAGATTCAGGTGGGTTGCCGAATTGGTCTGAAGTAATAGAACAAAGTTTGAGACCAGTGGCACCTTTACGTCCAGCAAAGTTTAATTCTGGGTATATGCATGCGCACAAAAGCTTATACCCAGAATTAAATTTTGTTGGTCTTAAAGGTGCCACTGGACGCAAACTTTGTTCTTGTGCAGTGTTACTTATCCTACAGACATTCCTGTCCAGACAAATAGCTGGTTTACCAGATTAAAAATATTTAGCATTTCAGATCTACAGGGCAAGTTGACCAAAGATTTGGCATAGCTCTTACGAACAGACAGTTTCCCATTTATATTATAATCATGCTTTTACTGGCAACTGCCTATCTGATTAATATTAAATCCCCAGCTCATATTTTTGAATTGGAACAATTTCTTACACAAAGCAGTCCAAAGAGTGAAGTTCCTGAGTAATTGGTAGGAGGCTGAGATGAACCAACGCTTGAAGAACTTAATGAGTCATGTCAGAAAAGCATTCACCATGAGCAGTGGTGGTGGTGGTGGGGGGATGATGCCACAGCTGCAAGCTCTCCAGAAACACTAGCTGCTTAAATTATTAAATTATCATAAGTCTGGCAGCCTTTTAGCCTATTGGCAGACAAGGTTTTAGAAGAAACAAGGCAAATATTTTTCTTGATACCTCTGATGTGTTTTGTTCTGTGTAAAATACATTGCCCGGTTATGCTAGGGTACCTATGACATAGAAAGCAATCTGCTGCAGAGGTATCCGGTACAGGGGTTCAAAGCCAGAGAGGGCATACGCCAAATCAACATGACTCTGGGGGTTTCATTCATTGGTCCCTTGATGGAAAGGAGACACAATCAAGAAGGGATCCCCAGATGTGCAAACGGTTTGTGCCTTCTCTTCACAGCATAAGGTTGACGGACTCCCTCTCAGGTCTTGGGACGCCTCCAAGCACAGAAAGCTCTGTGGACTCTCTTCCGTCAAAGCCAAACATCAGTAGCCTGGCAGCAGATACACCCAGCGTGGGAGTCCCATATCAGTCTGCCAGCCAGTCCAGCGGCCTGCAGGGATCCCTCCTGGTGCCATGGCTGCTGCTGTGCCCAGACAAGCAAGAGTCTTTCAAGGCCGTCTGGCTGAGCAACCTGACTTGGTTCTGCTGCTGCTGCTGCTGCTGCTGCTGCTGCTGGGAGCCACCTCTGGAAACAGCCTGAGAGTTATGCAATGGGGGAAAATAGTATTCTGGTTTTACTTTTGTGGTACCTAATCAACCTTCCCTTGGTGGTGGTGCTGGAAAGTGCCATAGAGTCACAGTGGACTTATGGCGACCCCTCTGGATCAATGCAAAGCACAAGCAGAGGTGGTTTGCCATGGCCTGCCTCTGTGTAGTGACCCTGGTCTCCCCTGCTAGTCCCCCATCCAAGTACTAACCAAGGCTGGCCCTCCTTAGCTTCTGAGATCTGACGAGGTCAGGCTAGCCTGGGCCGTCTCTTACTTCTCATTATATTCCTGACCTGCCACAATCCCTCCCAATTGCTTCTATCTTCTGCTTTCCTAGATGGCTTCTCCCTTCTCCCTTGCTGCCCCTGAACTTCCCAAATCCTTCAGGTGGTACAGTCTCCCTCTTCTTCCAAATCCCTTCTCAAAGAATGCCAAATGGGAGCCACACTTTCCACAAACACTTTCATCCCATACAAAAACATTCCCTTTCCACAAACACTTTCATCCCATACGAAAACATTCCCTTTCATGGAGGGGAGCATAAACAGGGAGAAAATGTGGCAGTCAGGTATACCATCGTAGCCTGGCACCTATTCTGGCAGGGGGCCCTGGGCCCAGCTCCCATTCCCAAGGAGGGCCCTGTGGTGCAAGAAGCCTGGCCCTCGCTTTGAGCGGGTGGTGTGGTGTGATGTCATCATGCACTGAGCTGGCATGTACCATGAGCAAAAAAGGTGAACAGCATAGAAACAGGGGGAAATTTTGATTGCTGAAAGTATTGTTTATGTGCACATATTTGTCAGAACCCACAGCTAACAACGAAGTACACACATTCAGAAATAGTTATACTTTTATTGCAAAGCTATAGATGCAGTAACACAGGCACTGTTAAGAATGGCGGCAACCAATAAAGCCTAATAGGATATAGGGTATTCGTATGCACCCCCATGGCATGGGCCAATTAGATACCCTCCCACGCGCGGGACAAGTTAGGAAACCGTTAGGTGGCTAAAGCTGGGAACCAAGAGTCTCTCACGGTACATAGGAGACTTCCAGACAATACAACCTCCTCCTGCACATCTGTAGAGATAAGCGTTTCAGCAAAGACAGAACAGCAGGGATAGGAATGCAATAGCAAGTAACAAGACATAGAATGAACTCCCCAACCCCCATGGCAGCATAGCTGACAATATTTTAGTGTGACAACATTTGAGGCAAACCTGCTTCAAACACCCCTTGGCCTAACCCCTTGCTCCCTCGTCCACCATGGAAACAAAGCTGAAGAGCCTCTGAAGCAGCCTTCCTGGCCTCTTGCCTGCCTGCCTGCCTGCCTGCCTGCCTTCCATGTGCCATTTCTCTCAGTTCGGAATTTAGGCTCTGAGCTCCTCAGGTTACAGATTTGTCTTTTCTTAATATTTGTTCATGAGCTCTGTAATGTTCTGTCTTTATTGTTGGTACTATATAAATAATAACTGTAATCTTAACACCCCCTCTAGAGGAAGGAACTGGCTAGGCAGCTCTGGGATGTTTCTGAAGATTTTCACGGCCTTTTCTTTCACTCTCTTTCCCCAGTCACTTAAAGTTAACTCGTTCCTGTACCTGAACCACTTCAGAGCTTTGTTTCACTTACAGATACTCAGAATTAATTGTGCAGAGCTCCTTTGAATATTACTATTTGCATATCTCTTTTATTTGTATTTCACACACATGTGATACACAGTCTGTTCGGTGCTGGTCTTTCCTCTTCAGTGCCACAGCTTTTCAAGTTCCGTGTGTGTGTGTGAACCCACGTGATAAGGTACAAATTGGTTTTGCCCCAAACTCAGTGAATCACCAAAATAAGTACTAGTAGTAAAAAGGTAAAGGTTCCCTTGCTCGAAAGCCAGTCGAATCCGACTCTAGGGTTGCGGTGCTCATCTCCGTTTCAAAGCCGAAGAGCCAGCGCTGTCTGAAGACGTTTCCGTGGGGTCTTGAACTGCTGAACTACTGACCTTCCACAGCCTGCAGTTCAGCGTCTTAACCACTTGAGCCACCACTAGTTACTAGTAGTAACTAGTAGTAATTTGGATGCTTCTTTAGTCAATCACACTAGTTAGAAATCAGTGGTCATTTTATCTTAAAGTCAGTATATGTATGTAAGAAAACCACATAAGAAGAGCCCTGCTGGATCGGACCAATAGTCCATCTATTCCAGCATCCCATCTCACACAGTAGCCAACACGTTCCTCTGGAGGCCAACAACAAGACGTAGAGACTGAGGCCTTCCCCTGATAAGAACATCCAAAGAGCCCTGCTGGACCAGACCAATAATCCATCTAGTCCAGCATCCCATCTCACACAGTGGCCAACCAGTTCCTCTGGAGAGTCAACAACAAGGCAGAGAGGCCGAGGCCTTCATAAGAACATATGAAAAGCCCTGCTGGATCAGACCATAGAATCATGGAGTTTGAAGGGTCATCTAGTCCAACCCCCTGCACAATGCAGGAAATTTACAAATACCTCCCCCCCCCCACCCCCAGTGACCATTGTTCCATACCCAGAAGATGACAAAAAACCTCCAGGATCTCCAGTCAAACTGGCCTGGAGAAAAAAAGGCTTCCTGATTAGAGATTTGCAGAAAATGCCATGGCCTGGACGATCCAGGCTAGCCCAGTCTCATCAGAGCTCAGAAGATGAGCAGGGTCAGCCTTGGTTAGAACTTGGATGGGAGACCACCACCTAGGAAGTCCAGGGTTGCTATGAAGAGGCAAGGAATGGCAGACATCTCTTGCCTCTAAAGCCCTATGGGGTCGCCATAAGTCAGTTGTGACCTGATGGCAAACAAACAAACAAAAAAATAAAGTCACAGATTCTGCTTTTAGCATTTCTTCATATTTGATCCCCACTTTATTCCCCCCCCCCCGCACCCATTTCTGCCAGCTAGAGACATTCCTGAAGAAATGGGCCACTGTCTACAAATGCTGATGCCACAATAAATTTGAAACTCTTTAAAGTAGCACAGCTTTTTATTTTTTGTGACTAGAAACTGCATTGTCCTCATACCTTGCAATGAAGACATGAGACACCAGGTTATGAGTTAGATCAGATTGGCTACTAGCTAGTCAGTCCAATAAACCATTCGCTTTCAAGAAAAGCTTTGCTAGAGGCAGCTTTTATTTTCTGTCACCACACCTTTCAGCCAATTAAAGCTCACTAGGCCCTCATCCCATTGGTTCTAAGCTACAGGCCAATCATCCGCTAACTGACCAAAGCATAAAGCTGACCAATTAGAAGTGACATGTTTTGAAACATTCTGTCCCATTAAATATGAGGGAGCCTCACTAAAGACTTCAGAGAGAGAGAACTCTCACACAGAAGTAAAAGTCTCACATTTATTGTAAATCTTAATATCAAGAATTGCCTTTTTATACAGAACTATTACTTACACTCTTTATGTAACTTTCCACAAAGAAATTTAACTGTTAGTTACAGATCCTCAGAAACCAGTCTTCTAGTGGCTGTTTCTCTCTTGCTTGGTTCTTTTCCTTTGAGAGCAAACAGCTCACCTCAGCTTTCTTCTAGAGTTTGAAGCACTCTCCTAGTGCTTCTAACCTCCAGGCAACAGAGATGGGTTCACCTGGAGAAAGTGGCTGCTCTGGAAGGCAGACTCTACGGCATCATACCCCATTGAAGTCCCTCCCCTCCCCAAACCCCGCCCTCCTCAGGCTCCACCCCCAAATCTCTATGTATTTCCCACCCCCTAGGTCACGTGAACTGGGCCCCTGGGGTATTGCATTCTCACAGTGGAATCTACACCAGGCTGACTAGGACTTGAGGTCCTGGAGATGTGAACATCTTCTCTGCTCCTTACTGCTTCATTAAAGTGCCTTTTCACTTTAGGACAACCTCCCACCCCCCCGCCCAAGCTGGTAGCATGTGAAATCACCCTGCATTTGTGGAATGAGAGAACTTTCATGCATTGTGGTGTCTTCCTCTCAAATGCTTTCCACCAGCAGCCAAGGCCTTTCAGGTTTAATTTCCTGCTGATGGCCCAGGGGACTTTCCAATTTCCCGGGGGGTGGGGCTGGGGCTGGGCCAGAGGCATTGCTATGCTAGGTCCTTAAAAGAACTGGGGCCCATTGACATCATAGGGAGGAGCCAGTGACATCTCAGGCCATTGTCACTTATCTATGCAGGTGGATTCCAGCTCACCTGGAATTTAGGGAGAGGCCTGGGAACCCCTGGGAGCCTCCCTAACAAGGCCCTGGGCTGGGCTAAACCCAGGAAAAGGTGAGAGTTGGCCAGTGGTTATAGTGGTAGTGGTCTCCTGCTGTGTCCTTTTAAAAATTCACTTTTAGAATAGTCACTTTAAGATCTGTAAATATACATACCATGTGCATAGGACAAACAAATGGTCACAGATTTGACACTAAGGCAACACAGAAAAGCCTGTACAGGAACATTTTTAAAGTTTTCCTGGACGTTCATGGATATTCTGCCTTATTCATAAGGGTGACTTTGTATTGAAATTTACTAAATTATGGCATCACAGATGCCTTCATTTGGTAAATGCATGCCTGAAGTCTCTGAGCCAGGGCAGAATACCAAACAACTGCTGTGCACTAAATTTCCGAACAAAGTACAGGGTTCAGAATAGCAGCAATCTTCTTCCCACTTCAAACTCATATCCTACAAGTGAGTACAAGTACATTTTGAGGCAATTCAGAACAGTGCCCATAGCCATGACTGCACAGAAAACTCAGTTATGCCACCTAGGATTTTATATACCTTGCCTTCTTAGCACACTTAGAAACTCCGCCTTAAAACCACAGACATTCAGAACAAATTATTAATAAAACAAATCACATAATTAGGTTAATGGGAAATTCCTGTGCATAGTTAATTTCTGTTCTTCAGGTTCAACTTGCAAAACACATTTGGCTTCAACAAATGATCTTCACACTGTAGAAATACAACTTTAACTGCCCCAGGAAGGACTTTCCTCTTTCTAAT